AGCGCTGGTGTTGCGGGAGGATCCGGGAGCGTTGAGCAAGGCTGAGAGGGGCAATGGTCAGACCGCAAAAGCAGCATCTCGCGGAGGTGCTCTTAGCCAGATTTGACTGGCTTAAGAGAAGACTTGGAAAAGCAAAGAAAGGGGGAGATGGACACGAAGTCAGTCTTCAGGCTGACGATAGCACACGATGACGGCCAGCAGGAATGTAACGAAAGCAATGAAAGTATTGGTTGGTCGGACTGAAAATTACGCGGGGTTCCGGCCGAATTTCCCGCCGACTTTCTTTCCCTTTTCGAGTCCGACAGCCTCAAGGCAAGATTGTCCGTCTACTTTGAACTGACTCCCTTCGGCCTCTGCATCGTGTCTCTTCCCCCCATCCCTTGATTCGTTGTCTCCATATTCCACTCCTCAGGCGGCGGTATTCTCTTCCTGCCGGTAAGTCGGTCGCTACCTACTCCGTACCACTCAGATCCCCCTGCGGTTTCCTTGTCCTACTACTAGTAGGGTTTGCGCCGCTGCCAGAAACAAGCCAACCAACGTGATGGATTCGCAGGCGAAGGACCTGTTGTCCTGTTAGCCACTAACTCCATCCCGGCATGTATGTCAACTGGTCATTCCCTGCGTCAGGCTCATTCATACTTGTCTTGGACTTTCCCCAGTGTTCCCCCGCAAATCATATATGATATCGAGTGGTCCGCTGACCTTGAATTGAAAGATAAGATACATTTCACATCCCTGGTCCAGGCCTTATCTTCACCCGTCCAATGGACTGATCGTGATGGAGCTCGCCATGGATGAATAGGCTAAGCATTAGCATCCTACATCACCTTACGAAATGGGTGTCCATAGAGTCAATCAGTCAGTCACCGTATATGCAGTGTAGTAGTTGGTCTCGTGAGCTCTTTGCTACAGTCCCAGAAGACTTGCAATCATACACCTACATTCTGAGAAATTAGCACTTGCCAGAATCCCACTTCAGCTCCCTTGCCAACAATCATGAAATCGGCCGCTGCCTTGGGGACTCAAGGTCCGGATGGCCATGCCTACGAATGCAATCACCTGGACCAATATCATGTACCCACCAATTTTGATGCCGCTGGCAGAGGCTCCTTCCCTTTGCTGGCACCGCGCCCAGTCCTCGCTGGAACAGGATCCCCCTCTCAATTTCCTGCAAAGCAAACTGAGGGTATATATCCAAGTGGTCTTCCAAATGGAAATGGATTCGTACATTCTAACCCCTCCCTTAACGGTGGCGTAAGGGGAAGTTACCCTGAAAAAAAAGGCCTTCTCCGGGAGTTGCAGGATAGCTCTCAGGCAGCAGACCTAACACCACAGTCTTATAAACCTAATACGATTCAAGCAACTGCGAATCATCTGGAAAAGACGCAGGCCTTTACCCCCAGTCTCATTCAGAAGACGTCAGCATCTCCAGCTAGGACCGTCAATATTATGTCTTCGTCAACATTTTCGTCGCCCAGCCACAAAGGTGTCGACAGTGGATCTATTCAGGCGAAGTACCGGCCACGCTCCTCGATACCTCCCAGGATGCCCGCTGTAGTCTACGCCCAACAATGTGTGGCAGCGGCGTATGCGTCCCGACTAAATCCATACGCGCTTCACAAAAAGGAACAGGAACTTCTCCAAGATCACATGTGTCATCTCCATGTCACTGTCTATCTGAACATTCGAAACGGCATTCTGCGTTTGTGGACGCGTAATCCCATGCTGAGTGTCTCAAAGGAGGAAGCCATGGGATGTGCAAAGGATTATCGCTGGATGAACCTTGCATCATTCGCTTATGAGTTCCTCGTGCGCAATGGATACATCAATTTTGGCTGCGTGGAGATACCAGTCGCTCCGGCACCTCCGAAGAAGGGTCGACGGCGGGATGGACCTGTAATTGTTGTGATCGGGGCCGGAATGGCCGGTCTGGGGTGTGCGCGCCACTTGGAAGGCCTCTTCAATCATTATCATGACCCGCTCACGTCTCCCCGTGTGATAATACTGGAAGGAAGGCGCAGGATTGGGGGTCGTATCTACTCGCATCCTTTGCGAAGCCTTCAGTCATCTACCTTGGCTCCAGGATTAGTTCCCAAGGCTGAAATGGGCGCTCAGATTATTGTCGGCTTTGACCATGGAAATCCTTTGGATCAGATTATCCGGGGCCAGCTGGCTCTTCCATACCATCTATTGCGCGACATATCTACAATCTACGATATAGATGGCTCAGCGGTGGATGAAGCGCGGGATGCAACAGACGAGATGCTCTACAATGACATACTGGACCGATCCGGGCATTATCGCCACAAATCCGTGATAGTCCCGACAGCAGAAGGTGACCGGGATCTCATCGATTCTGGACGTGATGTGTCCACTAGCGACGGCCTTACAGTAAGACAATACGAAGAAGCCAGGGCTGCTGGGACCATCGGGCTTCTGTTTCCTGCCAAGCGCGTCCGGCGAGGTGTTGGCCACAAAACCGCTGACATTAAGCCGGTCGGGGCCCCATTGGCCGACTCTGACAACAGCGAGGAGAATCCAGCTCGCCTCGCCTGTCAAACGATGGGTTGGAGTTTAAACAATGGGGTTGCAGTGAACCAGACCATCAATTTGGATTATGTGGCTAAAGCCTCGCCGTTTCCGACATTAGGCGCCGTGATGGATGATGGTGTGCGACAGTACCAGCGCATGCTCCCACTGACCCCGAAAGATATGCGACTGTTGAATTGGCATATGGCCAATTTGGAGTACGCTAATGCAGCTAACATTGGCAAGCTCAGTCTTTCCGGGTGGGATCAGGATATGGGAAACGAGTTTGAGGGAGAGCACTCACAGGTGATTGGTGGATATCAGCAACTGCCGTACGGCCTCTGGTCGCTGCCTACAAAACTCGATGTTCGTACCAACAAGATTGTCAGCAAAATATCCTATGGCCACACGGAACTAGGCAAGCAGAAGACAGTGGTTCATTGCGAGGATGGTGAGTCGCTCGTTGCGGATAAGGTTGTCTTTACAGGATCTCTGGGTGTCCTGAAACAACGCTCAATACAGTTCTCTCCTCCGCTCCCGGATTGGAAAACTGGTGCAATTGACCGACTTGGCTTCGGGGTTATGAATAAAGTGATCTTGGTCTTTGACCAGCCGTTCTGGGACACGGAGCGTGATATGTTTGGGCTTCTGCGTGAGCCTGCAAATCGAAACAGTATGATGCAGGAAGACTACGCGGCGAATCGCGGCCGGTTTTACCTATTTTGGAACTGCATGAAGACTACTGGTCTCCCGGTCCTTATTGCTCTCATGGCTGGGGACGCTGCGCATCAAGCAGAGCACACACCAGATTCGGTAATTATTGCGGAAGTGACCAGTCAACTGCGTAATGTCTTCAAGCACGTGGCTGTTCCAGATCCTCTGGAGACCATCATTACTCGCTGGGGTACGGACAAGTTCACTAGAGGAAGCTACTCGTATGTAGCTGCGCAATCACTTCCGGGCGATTATGACCTGATGGCCAAGCCAATCGGCAACCTGCATTTTGCAGGAGAAGCAACCTGCGGCACTCACCCTGCCACGGTCCATGGAGCATATCTGTCCGGGCTGCGGGCTGCATCTGAGGTGATCGAGTCCATCCTGGGCCCCATTGACGTCCCCAAACCGCTCGTTCCGGAGAAGGGCAAGGCTGTAGACCTTGGCACACCCGCGACGACGACAGGTCAGAAGCGAAAAGAACCTCCCTCGACAAACAGCAATGGACCATCACTCGAACCCACTGGTGCCACAGCCAACGATGCATCGCCCGAGGCACTCCGTCGGGAAGCGTATGACAAAGCCATGTGGGCCGCCATCTACGAGGAACTGGGCGCGCCACCCCCACGACCAGCGCGCACTGCGCTTAACCCGTTCCTCCTGTACCAGAAAGACTACTGGGGCAAGTGTCGCACGCAGTGTGACGAAGCCCGCCGAGCCGCGACCAAGGACCCCAACGCCAAGGCCGCGCGCGACGAGATCCGTCAAGCGCTTGGCCTCATGTGGCGCCAGGCCAGCGAGGAGGTGAAACGGCCCTACTTGGAGCAGATAGAAGTCAACCGACAGGCCAATGCGAAGATCTGGGATACCTGGCGTCGCGACATGGCAGAATGGGAGAAAAATTCCTACGAAGTCAAGGACCGATGGTGTGCTGCGAATCCATTTGCAAGCTGGGGAGAGCCTGCGTCCTCGCAGAATCCAAGTATAACCATTGCTCCTGAACCTTCCCGTCAGCTTGCGAGTGCCGACCCGTCTGGTTCTTCGCTGATGTCGCATGATGGCAATGCTGCTGTTCCTAGGACTAACGGAGAAGCTGCTGCTGTCGGAGCAGTCGTACAGCCTAGTCAGCCAGAGGCGCCAGCTCCAGCGACTACGAATGGCACGTCGGGAGATGGTGCTCTTTAAAGGCTCCTTCCCTGATAACATCTCTACGCAACTCCACCTACACTCATCAACACACGTCCAATTGCATCCCTTGTATGACTATGATCATTATGTACGATGTCTCTTGCTACTGAAGAGATTATGACCCTGTTAGACCAGGAAAAAAAGAGAAACATATCTGTAGAAGATAAAATTACTCTATAACGTCTTTCTACTCTATTTTGTATTCCGTTCACATTCATGAGATCAGATCGTCGAAGAGGATGATCGATCGAACCATCGAAAACCCCATCTTTGGAAAAAACAATCCCGTGTATCACAAAACAATAAAACAACAGAATCGCTGGAGTGAGTCTAGTAATATATAAAGCAGCCGTCAAGGTAAAAAGAAAAAATAAGGAAATGAAATGCGCAGACACAAAACCAGTCCATAAGCCAATGCCCCCACCTTGGCTAGAGCATAACAATGACAGAGCCGTCTAGGTCGGTCTAAATGAAAACTCCAGGTCTAGATAGATAATAGAGGAGGGGAATAAATATGATGGAAAAGAAAATGGAGGTATAGGGGGGATGATGAAAGGTTGTTGGGTCGCTTAAAGCAGAGGGTTGGACTTGTACTCGGCGGCGGCACCCTGGGCGTCCTGCTTGACTTCACCGTTGACTTCCTGGGTGGCAGGCTTGATAGCGGCCTTCTCGGTGGAGGTGGCGGGCTCCTCGCCGGACTCGCGCTCGGCGATGTACTTCTCGGCCTCGAGAGCGGCAATGCAGCCGGATCCTGAGAGTCAAAGTTAGTTGATTGCAATTGACATACATTCGGAACTGAGTAAAGCTTACCGGCACTGGTGATGGCCTGGCGGTAGCGCTTGTCCTGGACATCACCGCAAGCGAAAACACCCTCGACACTGGTGTAGCTGGTACCGGGCTGGGTAACGATGTATCCGTCCTCATCGAGCTTGATCTGACCCTTGACCAGGGTGGTGGCGGGGTCGTGGCCAACAGCGTAGAAGAGACCGTTGGCGTCAACAACCTCCTCCTCGCCGGAAACGACGTTCTTGACCTTGAGGTGGGTCATCAGGCCGTTGGGCTTCTCCTCACCGAGCACCTCAGTAGCGACGGAGTTGAAGCGGACGGTGACCTTAGGGTGGGACAGAAGACGGTTGGCCATGGCCTTGCTGGCACGGAGCTTGTCGCGACGGACAAGGACAGTGACGCTGCTGCCGTACTTGGCCAGGAACATAGCCTCCTCGGCGGCGGAGTCACCACCACCGATGACGAAGAGGGGCTTGTTGCGGAAGATGGGCACGGCACCGTCGCAGACAGCGCAGGCGCTGATACCGTTCTGCCAGTACTTCTCCTCACCGGGAAGGTTGAGGCGACGAGCGTTGGCGCCGGTGGCGATGATGACGGCGTCAGCAGTGTGAGCGGGCTCGTCGGTGGGACCGTCACTCCATTCCGTCCACAGCTTGAAGGGTCTCTGGGAAAAGTCGACCTTGGTGATGGTCTCAGTGATAACCTCCGTGCCGAAGCGAACAGACTGCTTGCGCATGTTCTCCATCAGCTCTCCACCGCCAATGCCGTCCGGGAAACCGGGGAAGTTCTCGATGTCGGTGGTGGTGGTGAGCTGACCGCCAGCGGCGGTGCCGTTAGCCAGCATACCCTCATAGAGGACGGGCTTGAGTTCAGCGCGGGAAAGGTAGATGGCCGCGGTGTGGGCGGCGGGGCCGGAGCCGATGACTATGTATCCCGGTTAGATTCTTCCTTCATGCTCCTCTGCTTGCCATATATATCCCAAAGGGAGAAAAAGATCCACTTACTAACGACGTTGGTGTGCACCATTCTGGAGGTTGAAGTGGAATTGACGCGCAGGGGCGCCTTGAGGTTATTTGATAGGACGGAGGCAGAGGGCGAGGAGTTTTGTTGCAGGGACGACGCGGCGGCGGCAGTCAATCCAAGGGAGGAACGAAGGGTGGAGAAGGGAAAACGACGAAAGGCGGAGGAAAACAGATTGGCGGTGTTGAAGGGGGGGAAGGAATTGGATATTTAAATATAGGAAGAAGAAAGAGGGGAGGAAAGAGAGAGAAGGCGGAAGAGCGAGGAGGGGGGTTAAATGAATTATCTCTGGGCAGACAGACGGAGAGGCGAAGAGGGGTGGGGAAAAGGGCTGGCCGGCACGGATTAGCTAAGGAAAGGGCAGAATTGCAACGAGTGGGGCAGAGAGAGAGAGGGAGGGAGACGTTGGTGTGTGTGATTATTGAGACGCACCTCTGGAACTGATTGATAAGGTCGAAGGAACCAGAAAACTAGACTCAACAAGTCAAGACTCGCTCGGCCAAGTGAAGATCTTGGTGGAAGAAGAGGCCAAAAGACTGGCTCACAAATCATCCGCGGCGAGACCCGGTCACGTGCACGGCTGCTTACCAACCGGGCTGGGCGAGACCCGATTATGTCATTGGTTATCAATGGAAAATGGTCGGGAATAGCATCACATCATATGAACAGGAAAAGGATAGTTACATTCAGTCGTCACTCGTGGAATCATATCACTCATCATAAGGCGTCTCGAACCCTCTCCATCTCTATTTGGATCGCCCAAACCACTTCTTCCGCTTAGGCACCTCCTTTTCTTCTTGCTCCATTCCCATCCCTCCCGCATCCGGACTCACAGGCACGAGTGTCTCCGGAGGCAACACGCCTCCTTGAGCAATCTCAAACCTCGCTCGCACATCATCTTCGTCATCGAACCCATCGTCCTCATCTTCCTCATCTGTCATGCCCTGCTCGACGTCGGTGTCTTCCACCGGCGCCTTGTCGGCCTTCTTGCGTCGCACTCCAAGCCATCTCTTCCACCCTTTAGGCACCGATGCCGCAGGCGGATCGTACTCCATGTCTTCGTAGCGTAACATTGGCACGAGTAACTTGTATGGCGTCGTGATCCCCGCCGGATCCTTGGGGTTTAGCTCGAGATTAAGCGTGATAGCCAGTCCCCCTTCCAGGTTGATCAACGCCCCGAGCCCATCATCACCCCGTTTGGACGCCTTCTGACTGAGGTTGGTGGGTCGTCGCAGGAACGGGCCGGGCTTGGGTTCACCTGCATCATCCGTGTCTGCAGTCGGGAATGCCCCGTCCATGCTCATCCGACGCGCAGGCGGTGCCTCTCCCAGGTTGAAATCCTTGGTAGGAGGCGGGCCCCGGAGGGAGAGTCGTCGAAGGAGCCCTGCCCGGGGGGGTTTCTCTCCGCGAGTGAGAGACAGCGTTCTCTTGAGCTTGGCGGGCCGGGGCTCTTCCTCAGCAGGGGCATCGGGCGGTGTTCCGGGTGGCGTGGTACCTGTCCATCGGTCAGACACAATAACTCTAAACTGTCTGAAGTAAAGACGCAACAGTAAAAGTGGGTCAGCTTACCTGGCTTATACTCCCGAATTGAACACCAGTTCCGGCGTGGGAGCAACCGCTTGTTGTTCCGGGGCTTGTTATTCACATCATGAGTGAAGATGGGAACCATATCCTCGTCCGTGTTAGTGTTCATATGATGCACGCGGTTGCGCTTGTTAAGCATATCGGATATCATTTCCGTCTCGGGCATGTCGGCGATCGCTGAAGAGATGACGTTTGGCATGTATCGGTAGTCTCGGTCTTTGGGTATGTCCAACTTGGGATTCGAGTAAAACTGGCCAATCGCCGCCAGATGCACGTCGCCGCTGGAAACAGTCTTGGTTAGATATCCCTGCACCGCAAAACCAGAATAGCTCTTACCTCAATATGGTCACCCGGACGGATTTCTCTGCCGCAAGATCCTGAAGGTCTTCGATCAGATACGTCCGCTCAGCCTTGTGCCGCTTTGACGTCCAGTGATCATCGAAGATCTCGACTTTGGCGCCGTTCTTGTTCACCAAACCGCCAAAAAGCCCGGCTTTTCCAAGCGACTTGCGGCTGTTGAGGATATTCTTGACCATGGCCTGCGAAGACATTAGCATGGCACGTGTGGGGATTTGACAGCAGTCAGTGACATACCACTCGTGGATACGCCAGGGGGATACCTAGCGACACGATCAAGTGTCGGGTTTCACCCCGAACAATCTCCTGGTGGCATCTATCCCAGATCAGTTCGCCAGTTTCTTCCGAAATGATCTCATCCGTCTAGCGTATCGCTGTTAGCATCAAAGTAGTACGAAGGGCGTCATCAGATATTTACCATTCGTTCTGTCCGACAATCTAAGCCGAGGAAAGCCACTCCGTCGCCTAGAGACATGAAAAGATGCCGACTGCGTTGGTCGATATACGGCCCCGGCTTAGCACCAAGCAGCCAGCTAGGCTCTTCGGTTTCAGTTTCTTCGGGGACACTGTGATGCTGGAAAAGCAAGTAGTACTTGAACGCAATGTTCCCCAGTCCCGAGATGACGGGCGAGTTCATGAACTCCTCCGGGTAGGAGCCGAATCCCTCGATGATCTCATGGTCATTCCACATATTGACCATAGGGATCTGGGAGTTGGCGAGGGAGAACAATCCTTGCGAAAACCAAGATGCATAATTCTCCAGGTAGAAGTCTTCCAGTTCTGCCTTGAACTCCGCAGTGAAGGGCGCCTCGTATTTCTCACTCAGGTTCTTGATCTTGACCCATTCCTGGAAGTGGGCGGTTTCCGCAATCACCTTATCGTTGAAGATCTGGTCGCCACCACCGATCATGACGTGGAACGGACGAGTCTGGTGCTCGTTGAGGACATCTCGCCAGAGAGGGTCCGGACCGCTGAGCTTGTTGGAGTCCACCGCAGGGCTGAACCCATTGCCGGTATGGAACATAATGTTCATTGACTGTCCCCTAGCTGGCACCCAGAAGCCTAGAGCCGGTCCATGATTCAGACGGTACGCGACCCGCTGCTGAGTCGGGCCCAGTTCGATCTCAATGTTAAATTTCCAGAACGTGACATCCCTTCCTGGATCAGCATACAGACGGGCACCTGTGATTTCTTTGTAGCTTCCAGCAGTCTCTCCGTCCATGGAGTGGATGCGATTCGCCGGGACAGGCTGCTTGACACCCTCACTGCTGTAGTCCATAATGCTAGCGGACAATTCAAAAATTCCATCGTCGTTTTCAACGAATGAAAGATCTTCGCCTTCCGCAGTATGCTCCACAGGCTTGACATACAGAGGTCGTCCGTCCCGGCCCAACTTCATCAACCCTGCAGTTGGGTCAACGTACTCTGGTGCCAGTTGAGAATCTTCGCCTCCTACCTGGACGGGCGGAGGAGCGAGAAGATCCATTGGTTGGGCAAACACCCTCAGAGTCGGGCGCGGCTCATAGGAGGAGAGCGAGTCTTGTGTGACGATAAGAACACTGCCTCTCCAGGTCTCCTTGTTAAACGGCCCATTGGGACCATCAATTCGGACCCGCTTCAGGCCGGCGTAGCGGAGAAGAGGTCCACTTTGTAAGAAGAGTGATGGCTGAAAGCGCTTGTTACCTGTATAGTATGTGTGATTAGCAATGAGATAGCTTTGGACTGATGATCTAGCCTTTGGCTGCTTACCTGTTGGCTTCTGAGCAGACGGCTTCTGGGCAAAGTTGTTGGGTAGGGCTCGACTGAGTCTGCGGTTGCTGCTTTCGCCAGTCTCCCACCAGGCCTTACTCCGATCGGCATCAAATCGTTGAAAATCGAAATCAGAGGCTCCCAGTCTCGCTACAGCTGCAGTTCTCCACTCAGATAGAGGAGGGGGTGTCGGCGGAGGCACGTTAAACGAGACCTTGGGCTTGGACGGCACATTTGTCTCCGCCGGAGCCGGAGGTACTATTGGATTGTTTACATCCAGCCCACTGTCTACGCTAGCCTTGGCAGGTGCCGGGAAGACCGGTGCTACTCCAGTAGGGTTCTTCAACACTCCCTGCTGGGTAGTCGGTCCCTGCATGGAAGCCCCCCTCTCCGGGGCAAGGTGTGGGGGCAACCTATTTTGATAAGCCGCCGGGTTGGCAACTGGTGGCGCACGGGTGTTGGGCTGATTGGGAACGGCCTTCCTGGCTGGGACGGCCATTCTAGATTGTTCAGGAAAATCTGAGTCCGGAGCAGCAGAGATAGGTGGATACGGTTGTGCATCTCGTTGTTTGCCCTGGTTCATTGCCCGCGGGCCCATCGGTGGTCCTTGGGGAGGATGGCTCACAGATACCGTTCGCCTGGGAGCGTTGCCCGTTCGTGCCATTGGTCCATCTGACCGGCCCCCATTAAAGTCCTGGATCTCGTCAAGAGCACGTTCTGCGGCGTCTTGCGGGGGTGGCATTATGCTGCGAGGAGGTCTGGCTCTGTCGGATGAATCTGGTCCTGGGGGGCTGTATCTTGTCTGCCCTTCGGAAGCTGCATGTCGGTGATGCGATCGCTTTGCTCCCGGCGCCGGTCTTGGTACAGCCGTTCGTCCAGGGACTGGTCTCTGATCCACGCTCTCTACTGAGTCCGAAGGCTGCGCCGTTCCTGTCGCACGACTTTCTGCCTGCCGCTTCATCCGTTCCTTCAATTTCATTTCAGCCTCTAGAGCCCGTGCCCGCTTCTCCTCCTTGCTCGCGCCTGTATAAGTGACCTCGAGCTTTTGGAGCGGCGAGCGATCAGACGCCCAGTCCCGTCGCTGTTCGGTTGCAGTGCGGACCGTGCTCGACCGACTTACTGGGGATGGCTGGCTATTCGAGGATAATGAGGCCTTGAGTGCCTCGTCGCCACGTTTGTCAGCTCTGGTGGCCGATGATTTCGAGCGTTTTTCAGACCATACTGGGCGGTCCGGCGATGGTAGGTTTTCTCCTTCCTCCATGTTGTCTTCTGGGTACACGTCTCTCCTGTAGCTTTTGCTTCTGGTAGAATATGAACGCGACCTATGATGACTTTGAACTCTGCTAGAATTGGCTGGATAGGGCGGTGGTGGCCTTGAATTGTTGGGGTTGGCGTAAAAGTCGTTATCCTCGTAGTAATCCGGTGCAGCGGACTTCACGACATGGGACGGCTGTCTTTTGTGCGACGGGGCTGTATAAATACCATTGGTGGGCGCCTGCTGCAGATACGTGGAAGCTTCCGTGGGAGGGGCGGGGAAGCGATCTGTCGCCATGTTTGCGGTGTAACACGCAGCAAACGCAGCAGAATGTGTTACTTAGCAGTCCCGCTTGTTCAGGAGGCTCTGGCCAGCGATTGATTGGAAGCGTGTTTCGGATCGGTGTTGGTCCTTCGTTGGCTCAGTTGATACGTAGTCACTGTGGCGCATTCAAGTGTGCCAGTCTTGAAACAAACCCCCTGTAAATGTTGGCGGTGGGATTATACAATTGATACGAATTGAGCAGAAGCCGAAATGATGCCTCGATTAGTAGAGTAGCATTGCAGTTGAAAGCAGTGTTGGCAATATGCACTGCAGGTGGCGGAAGCCTAGTAGTAGCCTGCCTTGGTAGTTTCCTCACGTTCGGGGTATATAAGATCGGAGATAATAGAAGTATGCAGTATAACTACAGATCGGCCGGTGGAGTAAACAATCGAAAACCCACTAAGCAAAGGGGCCGACCAAACAATGGGAAGTGAAAGAATGGAAAAGAAGGGAATGTGAAGAATGTAGGAAGAGGGGAAGAGGACGAGGAGGGAGAAAAAAAAATTATGGAGCACGGGGCAGAGAGAAATGCCCAACGAGAGGCGTAATGCTAATATACGATGGGGATGGGGATTTGATCGATCGGAGGGGAGATGTCAATCTAAACCGGTGGCTGGTAAATGAGCCCAGCCCTCTCTCTTCTTCTCTTCTCTTTGACTCGTCTGTTTTTGCCTCTGCGGGGCGTCCATCCACGAGCTCTGCCAGGTACACGCTGACTCGGCCGTTTTTCTTCCCACTATATCTTGTTCTATTCTTGTCGATTTGGATCGTCATTGTGAGGATTTTTGGATTTTCGTTGGGCAGGTGTCTGGCCAAGTTACTGCCGTCAACGTCGCCCCGTCTGCCACCTCAAAAAGGGTTTCGTGTACATGTTGGACAGTGTTGTCAGTTGAGCCAGTCTTGAAGGGAATCATTGTCAATTGATCTCCTCTGTCACACCATCTGTCACTCAGCATCATGGTCAGAGTTAAGCAAGGAATTGAGGGTGGAAGTATATTGTGCAGCCTAGACACTTGCATGATGGCTGTGCGGGTGTTGCACGGGCTTGGCAAGGAACACCTTACTGGGACCACCACCACTGGATGGCTGAGGTCATTGCACACTTTCAGCACTCGATTAGCACTAGTACTTGAACCCCAGTGGTTACATGTGTGACTAAAATTTGTGGTTCAAACCTCTGGCTGTTTGGACTCTCAAGTTGTAATGCTAGTGTTGTATCTGTTGTGTCGTTTACGGCTTAGCTCTGGGTCACATGACCCTATCTGTCGGTATTACCAGATGGGGTAATCCAGCACTGCCTGAAACTCGTATCATAGACAGCATGCCTTGTAAGGTCTTTCGTACGAAGGACTCAGTATACAAGGATATCTATTCCGATCTCCATGAGTTTTAAGCTGGGTGAAGGGAGTAAAACATCAGAAGAGACCAGCTAATATATATCATTGACAACAAAGCATCAAGTATGTGTTTCTCCCTCGTTTGGGAGTCAAGTCGGCGCATCTTTTCACAGCCAGGTAGCAAACTGAGAAACTCATGCGACTGTGAGTCTGGATAGTATATCCGGGCATTGTGCTGCTTTACAAGGCTATCTTTTGATCATCTTGGAAAGTCGGTACACTAGATTGACAAGAATTAGTCATCTGTAAAGGCTGTAGAAGTCAGCATATAGCGAATAGCAACGCCTGAGAAGACTCTCTACTCCAGATCACTTGGTTTCTCCTATACGTGTTTATTAGGCTCTGTTGTCCCCAGTGGCATGCTCCAACCTTCCTCACCAGGGATCGGATGTGTTTTGCTATAGTCGCGCACGCTCTGATAAAAGCTCGTTGAGATGATATGGTGGTCATATAAGGTAATTAGTCATGCCTACAATTCGTAAAGCTATGCGGAACCGTCTGCGGATAGAGAGAGCTCCACTGATGTGAAGATAGCACCATCTGCATACACTGCCAGTTAGGCCTCAAAGTACGTACCGTCATACGTTAAATTCGACATGACTTTGGTGGCCAGACATGAGACTGTTCTGCTTGCTTGCTTTCTTCGCTCAGATGAATATTGAGTATACAAGACATTGAGATAGATGAACCAGACTGAAGGCCATCAGAAAACATACGTCGAAGCTCTTCTTGGGTAAGTGTATGAGCCTATAAATCTAGCATGGATTCCTCTTAGGATCATGACCCCCGTAAGCTGGACCATTAAGAGGCAAAGTAGGAAAAAATATACATTTTAAGAAGCGTTGCGACCTTCGATTGGAGGTCACATGCTTGTGGTACATGGTCAGAATCACACGTTAGGCGAAGAGGAAACATATAGACTAAAGTAACGAAGCGGTGAGAAAGCAAGTTCAAGGTAGAACGGATCAGTGGGGAAAGTAGAAGCAGATCTTGCCTCCAGTAGATTCAAGAATGTAATGGAAATTCCCAAGACGGTCTTAATCGGACACATCACATGTAGGTTGTTAGCTCGGGCTTCCTATAGTCTTGCCGAGACGCTTCATGCCTATTCCACTCATGTATCCATGCTTCCGTGCACCTACTACTTAAGGATTAAATTCTACCTTGCAGCCATGATGAGCTATACTCGACTAAAAGCCTAAACATCTTTTGCATATCAATAATTGAATGAGGGGCTGCCGCTATAACGAATGAAGTCTGTCGCACATCTTCTCGTTACCTAAGTAATGGTAAATCCCTGTTATCCTCCCTTAATGGGTGGAGGTAGCCTAGACTACAGAGTAATCAAAGTAGAAAAGCACGGAAGACTCTAGGTTCCTTCCATGTATTATATTCGATTCTACTGTAAGGTATATGCGTGGATGATCATCTGCACTGCTAGTTAAAGCAGCCGCTGCTCAAGGAAATGCTCTCTCACATCCATTGAATGGCCACGTCAGCACACTGGAACTTATTTACGATGTGAGTGAGAAAGAAAATCTAGAAGAAGTCGAGAAAAATGGAGCGCTTTTCGGACCGGAGAGCTGGCCAAATTTATGTCTATGGGGCCTCTTTCGTTTTGTTCCGCGCACTGTTGCTTGAATTTGTAATGCGCGCTGATGAATTAATTAGCTCAATGAAACCTTGAGCAGAGACGATAGTAATAATGTTATCGAACCACGGAAAGAGTCCCGCGGTGGAGCCCGGAGTTGCTTATCAGTGATAACCCTAAAAGTCAGCCTTGTTATACTCTCGCATACTATAGCAACCCCTAGCAGAAACGGCAGCTGGTGGATCCCTCGTCTTTGGGAGGATTTAGTTACGGACATCCAAAGCGGAAAGGAGCCCGACATGATTACAAAAGAATTAAAAGAATAATATGTCAGCATGCTTGTACTCCGTAGAGGGGTAGTTAGTTAACTTGGTATGCTTACTGACTCACCCAAATTGAGACTCACTAAGCTCCGAACAGCCTAGCCCATCATTGACTAAACTAAAACAGTCTTCAACAATTCCTGAGCTGTTATTTCTGGTGGCTGTCGCTGGATGACAGCTGATCTATCTGGCAATCTCCATTTAATCTCAAGGCTGGAAACGTCTTCGGAGGTACACACAATGCAGTCAGAAGGCGAAAAGAACACATTCAAGCCAGGTGATGTTGATACCACGTCGTCCGAAAGCACACCCAACAATGAAGCAACATTCGCACCGGCAGCCTTTTCAGCCACGTCCTTCAGTACCACTCGCGCGAATTTCACCATCGTCAGTCTCACGGGCGTCAGCTTCCTCAACACGATGGGGTCAGGAATACTGACCGTGGCCCTCCCACAAATGGCGATCGACCTTCATCTAGACGAAGATATCCTACTATGGCCCGCATCAGTCTACGCGCTCGCAGCTGGTTGTACTTTACTGCTCTTCGGTTCTATCGCAGATGCAGTTGGTGACAAAATAATTTGGACAACGGGGAGTATTCTGTATGCGATATTTACACTGGCTTGCGGTTTTGTACAAACGGGGAATCAGCTCATCGCGTTTCGGACTGTATTGGGTCTTTGCATCGCAATGTGCTTGCCCTCTGCAGTCAGCTTAATGACGCGCAGTTGCCCGTCGGGAAAAAGGCGAAACATTGGATTTGCATCGATGGGAATGGGGCAGCCTTTGGGCTATTCATTGGGGCTCATCCTGGGTGGTGTTTTCGTTGACACGATTGGATGGCGCTACGGGTATTATATCAGTGCCATCATCAATGCCGTTTTATCGGCCACGGCTTGTTGGGCGCTGCCCGCTGTGAACAAACCCCACGGAGAGCCGTGGTATAGGCGCATGGCAAAAATTGACTGGATTGGGGCAGTCATCATTAGTATCTCGCTGGCATTGCTGTGTTTCGTGATGGCGTAGGTGTTCCCTCAATCTCCCGCGTTCTACACGATCTTGCTAATGCAATGTGTCCTGCAGTGAACTCTCCGGAAGTTATCGAAATATTCGCACAGGCTATGTCATTGCCCTTCTTGTTGTTTCACTAGTGCTCATTCCTGCATTTGTCGCGTGGATGAACTGGCGACAGCGAAAGGGTCAGCCCGCCCTCATTCCCAACAGTATATGGCGTAACACCACGTTTACTTCGACATGCATCATCGTGTTCTTCACCTGGGCTGTTTTCAATGCCTTTCAGTACTTCTCATCACTCTAGTAAGTGTAAACCTTGTGCTTCTGGGGAAAGTACAACAAGTAGCTGACCAGTATGGGCAGTTTCCAAAACATTCAACATCACTCTGCCCTCATCTCAGCCGTGATGTTCCTGCCCCTAGTGATCGTCGGGGCGCTCACCAATGTCTTCACCGGCTACGTAGTGGATAAAGTTGAAGTACGCACTTTAGTTTTTGTCTCTGCCTGCATCAGCACTATCTCTGCTCTGTTGATGGCATTAGTCAAACCGAGCTGGGGGTACTGGCGGGGTCCGTTTGTGGGGATGCTCCTCAGCCCACTTCATCCGGATGGTACGTTTCACATGAAAATAGCGGCTAAATGAAGTAG